CAGGCTTCTCCCTCTGCAAGCCTATCCCTTTGGGGCTACTCTTCCTGCCCACTTGCACCTATGCAAGCGTTGTTTCCTCTCCCGTCTTGCTAATAAATTTACTCTTTAAATATAACTGAGGGCCCTCTCTGGTGGCGCAGCAGGTTAAAGCACAGCACTGAGAAGCTTAAGCCACTTCCGCAGAGTTCGATCCCCGTCTGCCCCGGAGGAGATCCACATGGAGATCCACAAGGCACAGCAGACCTCTCCTGACCCGCCCGCTGCTCCCCTCAGCAGTGGACTTCGTCTATCTGCCTGTTCTGCTCCCCACTCTGTCCCTGGTGAATCCTTTCACCCTCCGCATCTCTGGCCTGTACCCCAGTTCTGTATGAATAAATAAATCTTTAAAAAAATATATATAACTGAGTCTCTGTCTCATGAAGAATTTGTGTGCGGCTGAAAGGGGCGTTCGGGTGAAACCTTTCCCAGAGTGAACCCAAGGACCCCGAACTCAAAAAATGACATCACCTTGCATGTTAAATTTGCTCCTTCAGCTTCTGTCCCAGAATGGCTAAGAGAAGATGACTCCTTTTAATTAAAAGTTAACTGCTGGTTTTAATTTTGCTTTTCAGGTTCTGTTCCAGGGAACCCAAGGATTGCAAGCTTAGTGGCTAACAACAAAATGACTGCTTTTGCTTAAAAGTTAACAGTTTTTACTTTCTCCTGCTGTACAGGATATCCTAGGATTGACTAACTAATGAAAATGCTTAAACACTAAAATACATGTAAATTTTGTAATTAATAAAACTTTTTCTTCCTATTTCCAAAGTCTTAGGTTTGTAGGATAACAACTCACAGCTGTGATTTCTGCCGACAACACTCCACATTTTTTTAAATTTGAGATTTGTCTGAGCCTATCTGAGTAATAGCTGCAGTTATGATGTTGGACCTGCATTAAACCAAGCTAACACCACTTTGCACTAACCGCCTGGCTGACAGGTAGGGGCTCCCCAAAGTTCTCAGCTAGCAGCTGCCTGGACCTTTGCTCTAATGCTGAGATCACTGGTATGTCCACCACCCTGCCAGGAAAACTGGTTCTCTTTTTCCATCTTGATATAGTCTCCTGAGTTATTCCATAGTAAAAATGTCTAACTTTGGCCCTCCCTGGTGGCGCAGCGGGTTAAAGCACAGCACAAAAAAGCTTAAGCTACTTCCTCATGAGTTCGATCCCCGCCTGCCCCGGAGGTGACCACATGGCGGTGACCACATGGCGTGGCAGACCTCTCCTGACCCGCCCACTGCTCCCCTCAGCAGTGGACTTCGTCAATCTGCCTGTTCTGCTCCCCACTCTGTCCCTGGTGAATCCTCTCACCCTCCGCATCTCTGGCCTGTACCCCCGTTCTGTATGAATAAATATATCTTTAAAAAAAAAGTCTAACTTTGCTGCATTTTCCACTTCCAAGGTCCCTTTGGTTTGCTTAAAATTAAACAAATTATTTCGGCCTTACTAACAGGCAAGGTCTATTAGAGTGCTATACTGGTTATCAGACAAGATCTTATTCTGTTGCTTCTCTTGGTCCCCGTGGCCTTTAAGTTAAATGTTATTGTGTTTCAGAGAAACTGGTTCCTTGTCTGGTTTAAAAAAAAAAACTAAAACATTCCTAGGTTTTCTCTACTTATTGTTGGGAGTGACCAAGTTTGGAGATTTACTGAGGGACTGGACAAGGGCAGTCATACATCAGGCCTCGCATCCAGGGGTGATAAGGCGGTAACAAACCGGGCTTTGCATCCAATGAACGGGGCCTTGCATCCGGGATGGGGCTAGAAGGTGATAAGGAACTGGGCCTCACATCAAGGGACACAGCGGAGTCACCCTTTGGAATCTGAGTTTGGGTGGGCAGGAGCTGCGGAGCCCCTAGGGGCTCAGTCTCAGCTGCTGCCTGGGAGCAATAAACTGCTTGCTCAGCCTTTCAGGCTCCCGCATTTCTCCCTGGGGGCCCACAGAAATCCCGACAAAACATGCATCAGCAGTGTAATCTTGTTACTCTGTTACTCTTATATTCAGGTTTTGTTTACTAAAAATGTGATACTATCAACATGACTAAGACTTGTCAACAACTAAATGTACTTTAAGTCTTGATCATACTGGGTAATTCTTTTTAAAATCTGTAAGTTTGTTTTTCTGTTACAGAGGTCCTCTACAGCAATGACAAATCATTTTCTCTCAAAGACAATTAGTAGAAGTGTTTGCATTAACAAAAAAAAAAAAAAGAAAAAAAAGAAAAAGGAAAGAGGGGCCCTCCCTGGTGGCGCAGCGGGTTAAAGCACAGCACAAAGAAGCTTAAGCCACTTCTGCATGAGTTCGATCCTGCCTGCCCTGGAGGAGATCCATATGGCCTGGCAGACCTCTCCTGACCCGCCCGCTGCTCCCCCTCAGCAGTGGACTTCGTCCATCTGCCTGTTCTGTACCCCACTCTGTCTCTGATGAATCCTCTCACCCTCCACATCTCTGGCCTGTACCCCAGTTCTGTACGAATTAATCTTAAAAAAAAAAAAGAAAATATTGTCACTTAATAAAAAAGGTGGAACATAGCATGAAATAAATGTTAACACTGGTTTTCTGAAAAGTACATAAAAAAACCTTTTGATATCCATAATGTTGTGTACGTTGTAAATTTTGATTGTTGTCCCGAAATATTCAATGGTTTAGCATTTGCAAAAATTGCTTCTGAAAAAAAAAAATTGTTTCCAGAAAAGACCTCAACTGATTCCAATTGATAAAAATTTCGACAGTGTAAAATTTACTACAAAGAACTAAACAGACTGATTTTTGCTAAGTTTTTGTTTAAAATAATACTGGTATCTTTTTTCTCTTTCCATTAGATTCAAAAAAAAGGTGGGTTTTTTTGTGTGTTTTGAATAACCAGAATCTGCAGTAATGTTGCATTTTTTTCTTCAGCAGAACTAACCTGTGTTTCCATTTTTCTCTCCCCTTGATACCAACACAGTATAAAAACTGTGGTAGTAATATTTACTACTCATGAGTCTATTTTTGCATAACTTCAATAGGTAACTTTGTTCGCTTAACCTAAATAAATTGGAATTGTGTTTCAGTGGCTTTGCTTGGCATTCTCCAGGAACTTCAAACAGAGCTGAACCAAGAAGAAGAGAACCTGCTGCTTTGTAAGGTGCCACCAAGCTCCCAAAGAAGGTGAGGAAGCTTGCCTCCACTGGCAGGCCAGGACGCCCCCCCAAAACAAAAAGTCCTCGTAACCTTGAGATATAGGAAACTCCAGACTGAGTCTGCTGAGAGCAACATTGCTCCTGAAGCCTGTGTGGACTGGACACCGCCAGTTCGCTCTGCTCCTGGATGGAGTCCTCCAGCAAGGCCAGCAACTACAAATTGCTACTTGATTACTCTGCTCTGTGATTTTATGCAAAAATAAAAAAAATGGTTAAAAGGTAGCTTGCATTTATAAATAACTTGTACCTAGTTGGATAAAGTTGAGCTCAAGATTGAGAGAACTTTAAAAAAAAAGTTTTTAAAGATTTTTTTTGTTCCTGTGATTTAAGTTTATTTGTTTTTCACATGTACTAATGGACTGTTTTCCAGTTATGACCGTCATATTGGACATTCATGGACAATGTTGGTGACTGACTGCACCCTAAAAATCTGTGCCACCATAGATACGGTGGTATAAAAATCAAAAGGGGTGATTGTAATAACAGGGTGGTCCCCTAAAAAAGGTGAAGTTCCAGGTTCTCTGCTCCACCCGGGAGGAGGGTGGAGCTGAGCAGAGGAAAGAGAAATCTGGAGAAGAGTCTGGAGAAAAAAGCAGGATGGAGAATCAGAAGGTGACCTGAGGGAGCCACATGGAGCAGAGAGACGAGTGAAGAAACTGCTTGCTTCTGGCCCTGGACTGGCTGAAACACAGGATCCCGGTGGAAGGGCCTGGCGGAAGGGCCCGCATTCGGTGACTTTGACCACACCACACCCACAGCCGTAAAGGTGGATGGAGTAGTCTTGGATTCACTACTCTTGCCTAAAGAAAGACCCTGCCAAGCGGGAACACAGGGCGATGGAGGAAACGACCACACCCCACAGATCCACTAAAATAAGACTTTCATTACAATAATCACATTGTGTCTCAGTCCAGTTAGCTGTTACTCCAAAACAGAGGGGGCCTGGATCTTCTGTTTCTCCAACAAGGGGGACTGTGTGCAGCCTTAGGTGAAAAGTGCTGCTTCTACGCTGACCATACTGGGGTCCTGAGAGGTTCCAAGGCTAAGGGTCTACTCAGGCGAAAGCATGAGAGACTAAGGAATCCTGGTTTGAGTCCTGGTCTAACAATTCTCCTTGGTTGACTACCCTGGTGTCTGCCCTAGGTGGTCCCCCAATTTTACTTATGCTAATGCTTACTTTTGGCCCTTGTATAACAAATCGCTTGCTTGCTTTTGTGCGTGCTAGGTTAAAAGTAGTCCAAACACTGGTGCTGCGACACCACTATCAACAGTTACACACAGAAAGTGGCCTCTATCTATGAACCCAATATTGGGGTTCAACAAAAAAAGGGGGGGAATGTACAGGAATGCCAAGGCCTGAAGGCCAGCAAAACTTGCTAAAACTGTTGCCCAAACCTAAGTTTCCCCCCTGGAGTAAATGTTCCAGGACCTGTCACCTGCACCAGGCCTCCCCCAAGCAGGGACTTGTGACCGCCCAGCCCCTCCCACAATGCCTGTAGAAGCCCATGACTTTAAGAAGCCGGGGTCCTTCCCTCTCCGGGAGTGTCCGCTGCCTCCGATCGCTCTGGGCCGGACCCTAGCTCCAACCAGCTAATAAAAGCTCACTTTGCTTTTACATCAGACTTGGGTCTCGGTCGTTACTGGACTCGGCGCTTTCATACTTTAACACCCGCTCCACACGCGCCGCCGCCACCGCCGCGCGCGTCCCGCGCCCTCTCGCAGCCTCGGGCCACAGAGCCCCAACGCGGAGCCCTCCCCGGCCCAGGTGCAGCCCTTACCCGTTCGCAGGCGACCCGCACGTCTTCTGCGAGCCCGCACCCCGCTCCTAAACTGCCTCCTTTTCAGCCCCGCCCACATGAGGCGAGGATCGTCCGAGGGGCCTCCGCCGCGGGGATTGGCTGCCCCGCCGGAAGCGCAGGCGGAACCACCGGCTCCAGCGACGCCGCGCGTGCGCGCAGGCGCACAGCCCCGGCCGCCACGCCCGCTGCAGGTGCGCACCAATGGGGAGCGAGGCCGCGCGCGCGGAGCGCTGGGAACGGCGCGCGGTCGCTGTGTACGGCGGTTGCCGTGACAACAGACCGGTCGGTCGGATGGCGATGGTGAGTTCCGGCCGCTCGGGTGCGGGCCGCGCGCTTGGGCCGGACCCTTCCGCAGCTTCGGCGCGGCCCACCACCTCTCATGAGCCGCTCTGGCCGCCTGCGCGCCCTCCTTGATCGGAGCGCTTTCCCGGGAGGGTGGGGTGCAGCCGCGCCGTCAGGCAGGGCCTGTCGTTCGCCGCCCGCCCCTGCCTGCTTCTCCTTGCCCCTCGGGCGCCCCTGGCCTTCCCAGGCCCTGGCAAAAGGCTCGTGCCCCGCGGCCGCCTCGCTCACCCGTTTTTCCGAAAGCACCGGACGAGCTAATGCTATTTGCTACTACGTGCTGCAAATTAAGTATAGGCATCGTAGACTTGGCTTTGAGCTTCTGGGGAAACGCAGCCGTGTGCCCAGTGAAATGGGTTATCTTCAATATAAAAATATATATCTTACCAAGTCAGTGGTATTTGGCCAACTATGAAGTCTCCAGAAAGTCGAAATACTTAGAGGGGAGCAATTACACCAGTGGGCATTGCAAGTTTCCAGAATTAGATGCCCAGTTTCAGGGAGAGGTGACTGGCTACAGTTACCCGCAACCAGTTCTTCAACTAGCTGTCTGTTCAGGATGGTTTTCAGTAAGTCCTGTCTAAAAGAGCAAGGGATTGTTTTGCTTCTAGAAACAATAGCAAAGAAGAGGGCAGGTAGCAGGTGCATGGGAAGCTTCCATTTTATTTGTGGTGTCACCGCCCGACAAGCAAAGCTTTGCAATGAGTTGGTGTATGCGATTTTAGAAATAGAGCTGTGTGTAACTCTCACAGAATATATTTATGTAACATTGTCCATATGTGATTGTAAAATGTCTAAAGGCCTCTAACTTTAAGAAGGCAAACATGGCTTCAGCTGCCCAGAGAAAAAAGATGAGCCCTAAGCCAGAGCTGACTGAGGAGCAGAAGCAGGAGATCCGGGAAGCTTTTGATCTCTTCGATGCGGACGGAACAGGAACCATAGATGTTAAGGAACTTAAGGTAAACTGGCATTCCTGCCTCGTGTTTGTCGTCTCTCGCTGTCCTCACTGTCCCCTTTTGCCTTCTGCTCACTACAAAGAGTAACGGGGCTACCCTGTGGTCTGTTTACCTCATGTTATTAAATAAAATTGTGCACCAATGCCAATTTTGTCAGCTTGACAGTCTCCCAGTCATCTCGCACGGTTGTCAGCTGCTGCTCAGCGCCAGCTGTCACTGCCCCTGATGCGCTCCTGTGTTCCTTGTAGGTGGCAATGAGGGCACTTGGCTTTGAGCCCAAGAAAGAAGAAATCAAGAAAATGATAAGTGAAATCGATAAGGATGGGACAGGGAAAATGAACTTTAGTGACTTTTTGACTGTCATGACTCAGAAAATGGTAAGTAGGCCAAGGTGGTAAGTGTATTTCCACCCATAGTGGTGGGCAAAGTGGAATCTTGACAGGAGAGGGCCTTCACTGAGGAAAGGGAGATCAAAGCAGATGCTTCAGCTGCGAAAGGGTGACTTATGGTTGAAAAGTCAAATACTTAGAAGTCTCCTTGACTTTCCCCGAGGCCACAAAGTCACGGGGCGTGCGTGTCCACCCCTGGAAGGTAGCCAAAGCACCACAGCCGGCACTTCTGTCCCCTTTCTACAACGGATATGCCAACACTCTGGCCACGAGCGTACAGCAGCAAACCCCCTGTGTCAGTGGGGCGTCCTCAGACTTGAAAGTTAGGGGTTCTGCCTGGCGTTTGCACTGTGGCTGCGCCCCTCACTGCGCTGCCAATGTGGCTTCCCCCGAGCCATTGCCCTGGGCCTAACGCCTCTGTCGAGCGTGGCTCCCCGCCTCGCGCGGACCGAGGGCAGTGGCTCGGGCCTCAGACGTGTTTCCAGGACGCAGGCCGTACCTCTCCACTCCTCCTCAGAGCTGTTGGTTCAGTCACCACACGTGTGTTTGTCTTGGTGGCACAGACCGAGGGCAGGGCT